AACTTGTAGCGCTAAAGGACGTAAAATGCAATCTCAAGTTAATACTCAAAACTTATTCACCATTTTGATTGGTCAAATTCAACATAATTGCACGAGTATGGAAGCCCATTTCCGCCATTCTGATAAAAAATAAAACTTGTATCTCATAATTATGAGATAGTTAAGTCATAATTATGAGATACTATCTCACAATTATGAGATAGCTAAGTCATAATTATGAGACACTATTTCATAATTATGAGACACTATTTCATAATTATGAGATAGCTACGTCATAATTATGAGATACTTTCTCAAAGTTATGAGATAGCGAAGTCATAATTATGAGATAGTATCTCATAATTATTAGATAGCTAAGTCACAGTTATGATATACTATTTCATAATTATGAGATAGCTAAGTCATAATTATGGGATGCTTTCTCATAATTATGAGATAGCTAAGTCATAATTATGAGATACAAGTTTTATTTATTTTTTATTAGTGTGGCGGAAATGGGCTTCCATACACGTGTGAACGTTTGCAAACGCTGAAAAACAAAGTAGGGAAAACAAAACACGGACAAACAGCAGCGGCTCACACGTGGTGCAGCAGCGCCCCTCTGGTCGCTGAAGATACTGCAGGCAGTCCTGCGGTTGCCATGGCACGGCGTCAGAGGCTCCACGGAAGCAAAGCACCGTGATTTAAAAGATTAAGGTTAAACTATGATAACCTATAGTTGCTGTTTTAGGGTGGATAATTTCGTGACAGCGTTTATTAAAACGTCCGTCGTTGCCGTTTGCCTTCAGAAAAGGGGGAAGAGTAAGCAATTTTCTTTTCTTTTTTTCCCTGTCGGCAGATAAACAAGCTGAAAGTCGAGCTTGCTTGGTTGTAAGCTAACATGCTAACATTAGCCGATTGAGAAAACATTACAAATAAATTAAAATACGGGCAAAAATAAAAAGATTACACGTTGGCAAACTCAGTGGGCAGCCACAAAACATTATATAATGCGCATGTTGGCTGTAGTTTGTTTTATTATTGTTATTATTTTAGTTAGTGTAGCTGTTTCACAAAGCACTGTTAGCTTAGTAAGCTAAGAGTTACCTCTTGTGTTGTTTTTTGCTTATTTGTATGTTTTTCATGAAAATACCGAAGAACTTTAAAAATAAAGATGGATAATATGTCTTGTTGTTACCTGGTGAGGTGCAGCACACTAATCTTAATTGTGTGGTGTCACAAACAAAACAGCCCAGCTGTAGTGAAACAGAGTTTGTACACAGTTTTAGATCCACAGCTCAGATTTTCTTATGGCCATAATAATATAGAGACATATTTTTGTTTCACTGCTAGTCCTGCATCAGTAGTAGTGTTTTTTTATCCTGAGAAAATTTAGTTGGACTGAAAAGTCTCTAAAAGTCATGTTCACACAGCCTGTGGTGATTGTGTCCAAACCTGCTCTTTTCCATTTATGGTGATGTTGCTCTTTGTACCGGTGGTGTTGCCATAGATACACAGCCTCCACATCTGATTAGCATTTAGTTTTTCTGCCTATGAGAATAGGATATGAAACATTACATGTCAAACAAGGTCAAAAGCTGAGAAGTCTAACAGTTTTACTGCATCATTGCATTGTGTTTTGCGTATTATTGCACTTTTTGGCTCTTTAATAAGACCCAATTGCAGAATGGGCAAGTTTTTATTATTTTTTTTTTTTTGCTGTGGTGTGGTGTGTCATGCTTAAAACAGTGTCTTGGAAAATTTTACCTCATGTGTATTGTTGCTTAGTGACCAAGACACTCGATATGAGAAACATGAGGGAAACTACCAGACCAACTACTTATTACTGTTTTGTACTGATTTCGAGAATGTTTTCTTTGGTATTGCTATATAATTATTGAGTTTAATTTACCAAAGGGGTTGTAATAAACATTTGCAATGTGTTGCTGGTAACTTGTTACTCATATTGTTTCTCTGTCTCTGTCTCTCTGCTTTAGTAAACCTTCCTGAAGTGACATCATGGACTCTGAAAAAGCAGCTGATCCTGTCGAAGACAACCGGGACCTGAGTCGCCTTTCCCATCAAACTTCAAAGAAAGATTCTCGAGCATCATCTGTGCACCAGAAGAACTTACAGGACAAATCTACCAGTAGGGACAAAAATAAAAGCAGTGCTGAGAGCAGGTCAAACACAAGAATGAGGCTTTCAGATCCAGACCGGGACCAGGTGTCAGATGAGGAGAGAAGGGGAAGCGATGGTTCGTTTTATTCAGAAGACTATGAGAACGAGACGCCGTCACAGCGCTCGCTTTCACCGCTCTCCCGCTCTCGGACTCCATCCCCCGTCCCACAAAGAGGGCTTCGGGCAAAGCAGATTTCTAGAAGCTCCTTCCACAAAACAGGTTAATTTTTTTTAATTGATTCTGTTTCAAGTGAAGTTTGATAAAACTGAATTACGTCTGTGTTTTGGTTTCGTCCAGGTGATGGCAGTGTGGGCCCAGTTTCATCAGCTTCACTGCTTTTTATCTTTCTCTTTACAGGTGGAGTGGGGCGCAGGGCCTTGTCTCGTCCACATCGAGCGGGGGGCCTCTCCTTGACCCATCAGCATCGCAGGGGACCCCGGTCCCAAAGCAAGGAATCAACACCCCCTAAAGACCTGGACCTGGTTACCAAGCGGATGCTCTCAGCCCGCCTCCTGAAGATCAACGAACTGCGCAACTCTCTCTCTGAACTGCAGCAGCGCACTGACGATCTGCAAAAGGAAAATCGAATCCTCAAACAAGTCAGTCAAAAACTAAAACGCAGATCATGCCCTCCAACGATAAACGTAAAACTTTTTGTGTGTGTGTGTGTGTGCGCCGCAGCTTCAGGCGCGTCAAGAGAAGGCCCTGCAGCGTTACGATGACACCGAGAGCGAGATTTCCCAGCTGCTGTCGCGCCACTCCAACGAGCTCCACGTGCTGCGGGAGAGGCTCAGGCGGACGCAGGAGCGGGAACGGGCGGCCGAGCGGCGGTCCAAAGACGGCGAGGAGCAGCTGCAACGGAGCCGAGCGACCGTCGCGCGACTGAAGAAGCTGGTGGACCAGCGAGAGCTGGGAGCCAGAGACGAGCTGAGCCGCAGACTGGAGGAGGAGAAAACTCGGGCTCAAGAAGCTGAATGGAAGAATAAGGTAATTATTATCTGGTGTTTCTTTACTATTTTACTTTTTGTTTACATGTGGATGATGTGTTTGTTTGATAACGTGCTGTAACGTTGTAAAAAACACAATGAAAGTCAAAATATATTGCAAGTATAAAGTTTTAAAATACGAGTGAAACAATCCATTTTATCTTTTTCTTGAAGTATTGCTAAGGAATTTGTCTGCTACGTACCATTACAGATGTCCATAAAAGAGTCCTTCTACGTCCAAACACACGGTTTAATCTATGTAATGTTTCTGCAGTTACATTAGATTATCTTGTTTATGAATTCAAGAGTAGTAAAATCGAGTTTCCTGTAGAACCAGAGCTGCCGTGTCTCTTTGGCGACAGGATTTGTTGAAGTTTTGTGTTTGTTTAAAGGAGCTGGAGCGCAGCATGGAGCTGAGCATCAACAGCTATCAGAGGCAGCTGGTTGCAGAGAAGAAGAAGACTCTCAGCGCTCAGGAGGAGATCAAGAGTCTACGTGAAGAGGTGGAACGACTGGCCGTAAAACTCAAGGTGCTGCGTACAAAAATGCTGAATTTAGGCACGATAGCTGCTACAGTTATTGCACGTTGCACAGTTCGAGACACGGTTTTATTATGTTGTGTTCAGGAAAAAGAAAGAGAGCTGGATGCTAGGAATATTTATGCCAACCGCATGATGAAAACCCCAGTTCGAAAAGAGTTGGATGGTAGCACAAAGCAGAAAGGTAAGAAGTGTCTGTTCTGTCCAGGGGTGGAAATTAGCACCCGCCGCTGGCCAAATGAGGGTAAAATTATGAAGTGGGGTGTAGATCTGAACAATACACCCGCCACCGTGGCAGGTGTGTAATGAGCTAAAAAAAAATGTGTTCAAATCACGCTACTGACCTTTTTCAAAAACTTAGTTTCGTTTTTATTTTGCATTTCAGAGCCTGTAGGATGTTAAAAAACATTAAATAACATCAAACAACCATCGTCCAACCCGCTCTGCAGCTAGAAATAAATTCCCTCCCTTCCTGCGCGCTGTCATCTGTGTGGTCCGCCCCGTGCGCGCTATACTGAGGCTCATTATACAGGTAAACGTCCGATTATCAGAAGGAGAGAATAAAAACACCAACTTTAACGTGGCGTTACATATCTGGAGTTAATCAGGCAGCAGGTATTATTTTATTTATTTCTTTACCATTATTTTACCAGGCAAGTCCCAAGGTAACAAAACCCTTTCTCAAGAGGAACCAAAGGAAGAACTGAAAGGTGCAGGGTTTTTTATAACAATAAATGGAAAGGAAAAAAAAGGACAATGGTGAATTTAACAGGACAGTCAATTTAGTTTCATCTGTTAGCAAACAGCAAAGCTAGAACTGTAGGCTGGCATCAAGAGCAAAAACCTGAAATCAGCTGATTAAGAACACTATTTCTAACTGTGTGAATATTACATAAATGTTAGTTTTACAAAACATTCATATTAGTTGTTAAATATTTTAACTCAATAACCATGATCACTTTGATTGATCAAAGGAAACTTAAGGAAAAACTGTTTTTAACCGCCGCTAGGAAACGTCTGAAGATCAGCTGACAGCTCGAGTGAGTGAGTGAGTGAGTGAGTGAGTGAGTGAGTGAGTGAGTGAGTGAGTGAGTGAGTGAGTGAGTGAGTGAGTGAGTGAGTGAGTGAGTGAGTGAG